TAAATAAGTGCAGCGACTTACCCAATCTATATTCGATGCTGAGGCTCAATTTGGTCAAAGCACGTTACCACTTGGGAACACACTGGCCAACACGTCCTCTAACGTCAGCACCAGAGAGCCCGATGGCCGAGCAATCATCACCTCCAAGTGACCACTTGCATTAAAACTTCAGCATGTCACGACCTGTACACAGGCCATTAAGCAATTAGCGCAAAAGCCGACAACTTTCCTTGGTAGGGAGCGGCGTACATTGTTATAAGTATGCAGTGGGTATTGTTTTCGATTACTGCTCCGCGTCAGATTTCTAAACGTCAGGCGAATATAATTCCCGTCCCAGCGATCACATCAACTTCTTCCTAACCACTTTCTGGGTCTCGCATTTTTTCTTGTATTGGAGTAAAGCTATGTGTTCCTGTTTTAATGTTGTGCAGTCTTTTTCAGCGGGGTAGAAAGTCAGCCCATGTGTTCTTAAAGTGGTGGATCATTTTGCTGTCAGTACACTGCAGAAAAACACGAAATTCTTAATATCTGCGAAAGCTGAGTGCCTTATGTAAAAATCTTAGCTGCAGACATGCTTCTTGCTACTTCAAACGAAGAAGACGAATGAGAAATTATAATACTAACAACCCTATAAGAGGTGTTGGCTTGATCGAATCACTTGATCGTTTAATCGATGTCTTCCAATAAATTAGCAGAGACCAAGTACCTAGACCGTCTTAGGATTGCTCTCCGCGAATTTCGGACGAGAACTGGCGACTTATATAAAAGGTATACAGTAAGACATCGCACATAATGTACGTAGCTGAGATAATTTTCTTCCGCGATCGCATTTTCTATCCGACACTGAGTGACATACTAGGATAAGCTTTACTCATTATAGGACACTGTAAGATAACATTTCAGTCATATGAATCGCTCAGGCCGCAGATATATTACGAATAAATCTATGCTTTTAAGGATCACCTGATTTGGGGAGGATATAGCATCGCCAGTAGTTCCCATAAAAGTACGCATCGAAGTAAATGCTCTTTATATTTATATATCTTATTTGAATTAGAAAGAGGACAAGAAAAAAAAATGAAGTATGAGTAGACAAATTATGTAAAATATAGTTTGTAAAGTATTAAAATTATCTGCAGACAGCAATCTCGATCAGATGCCGTGGAAACATAAGGAAAGAAAATGACCACTGAACGCTTTTTGTATTTCATTATACGCTATGCTGTACTATTGAATCCATAAAGTAAAAAATATTTTGTTGAAAGCATTCCGATTTGTTATTATTCTCAATAAACATAGGCTAAAAGATAGATATAAACTACCCGCGGCTTTCAAGGACAAAATATGCTTATTCATTAAGCCTCAGTTTTAGAAACGCAAACGTTTGGGGGATATTACTGTATTGATGACACTGGACCCGAACTTAGGCCTGGCTTAAGGGGTATGCTAGAGGTTTATCGAGGAAAATTAAGGATATTAGGTGCTTAGATTTGGCAAACTACTGAAAAAGAGATGCTCTGTTGACAAAAAACGAAACACTGGTCAACCGTTTCTGGCTTCTTTATCAACAGTAACCAATCATACCCCTATCAAGGAGTTAAAGGTTTGAGTTCAGTTGGTAATTAAATAATTAACTTTCATAAGAGCAAGGAACATACGTTCATTCAACCTGCGGTGTGGAATAAGCAATATTACGAATGGGAAAATGCAAAATTCAGACAACGGCTGAATAGTCCTGGCCATAGGAGTGCAGTTAAGTTAAGCTATTAACAAAACTCGCTTGTTTTTTTTAAAAAAATAGTTACTTTTAAAGAAGAAAAAGGCACGCTCACTGAGCCTACAGTAGTTCTCGTCCCGTTTTATCAGCGGTGCATGCCATTATCCGCGTGCCCGTGAAGTCACGTTCGTGACTCTCTTTCAGACTCCAAATTCATTGAACGGCAGGTGGATATACTACCCTGCTATTCTGCCCACCGTTCGCGCGACCAAAAAGCATGGCCCAGTTCATGCCCTTCACACGTGCTACCACACTATCGACGCACAACAAGGTGCCAAGGCCGTACGCCACAACGCCAAGGACGCGCGTGGACGGCGTGAGCGTGGACCAATCACGAATGCTACCCCTTCACCCATCACCCATTTACTCGTAGCTGGACTACAAAGATATGAAAATCCTTGCTGTTCTCTCACTTTCTTTGACGATGGCCTGTTGTGTGAAGCCGAAAGCTCAGACTAATACAAAAGCTGTCCAAGTGATCAAGCCTTTG